TAGCTACTCAGCAAGGAGAGCCATTAGGTTTTAATGATATTTGCAGATAATTCCTAGGATTTGGTCAATTAATTTGCATGAAACACAAATTTCATTTATCCCAGTGAATCATGCAAAGGACAGACATGGGGGGTAAATCACATCCAGTCCAGCAATCTAGTCCGAGCATCAGCTTCCAGGCTGCTATTTTTATCATTTATTTTATCATTAATGTCGCAACATCTCCACAATTAATACTGCTCTTTATAAAGTCTCCACAGGGCACTCTGTCTGCAACATTCTGCATTTATTCTAAACAACATCACAGCCTGTCGAAGAGTTACCTTACAGCAAAATGAAGCTGCACAGTAAAGTATATATAGCACATTGTTCACTGATCTAAACTAACAGACAATAGCTAATGCATGGCCAAATGATAATGAGCACAGCACACTGTATGAGAGTATTTCTATGGTCAGCGCAGGATGATGCGTTTGTAGCTATTAAGGGAGACATAAGGGTATAGGGGATTTAGCTGGATTGAGGACACCAAGTTGACTCCCTGAATCCACCAACTCGTCATCATTTTCTCCTCTCTCCCGTTCTCTTGTCCTTCCTAAGACTAGACTAGCTGAAATGCACTCCCAGAGGATGAAATACACGGTCCTTTCTCTTTCATCTTTCCTCCATTTTTTCCCGTTATCATTCCTCTCATACCTTGTACAGCTGACACACAGGCAGGAGACACAGTAGATATAAACTTGTATATGCGTGTGCATGTGTGTGTGACTGAGCGCTTTGATTAAAGCCAGTCTGTGGATTAATTAGGGTAAATAACCTCAGAGCTGCTTTTGGGATTTAAGTGTTAAAACCTAATGTGTGCTTCATACTAGAAATGTGTCTGTCAACCATGAATGTTTTTGTCATTGCTCTCCTATAGGGTCCATCTTTTAAAAATACTGTATATGGAAACTATTTAGTCATAACTAGTCATGGTGACACCATCTCAGGAAAGGACTAGCTGAATCAGAGTCAGTTTCCAGAGGTCACGCATGCACTTTTACAAGGACAGCACAAAGCATGTTCGTCAATTGATTAGCTTTCTACTGTAGTCTAGTGACTGTTTGCAAGCATCAACTGTAGATATTAAGTCTGCATTCTGTCCCAGTGTGGATATGGGGCATGTTCCTACCTGCTTCTTCCCTTGGGAATCACTCAAGATCTTTGAGTGCATCCCAAGGATTGCTCCGAGTGTGGGATGTCCTGCCACCACCCAAAAAAAGAATCTGTAGTCCTGAAAGCTGCAAACAGCTGCTTTGGTATTTGATTTGGGGTTTTTTAAGTAAAAAATAGAGCTAAGCAGAAAATAATAACTGCAGAAATTATATCGAGAACGTATTTAGCAAATGTGTTGACAGTTATAATACTGATCTATTAATTGGAGAAACAGATGTCTAAAGTATGAAACTGCACTGACCTTTTTCGTGTCATTGTTAGGTGGTTGCTGGGCAACATAAAAGCATCACAAAACATCACGAAAAAGTTTTGTGACTTTAACTGAGAAGTTACTGTTGTGATATTAAAATTGCACTCCTTTTACAAGGTATTACAGGTGTGCATAAACTCACTGGCTAGGCAACACGATTATCTCATAACACCTGAGATAAGAACCATCAGGGGCCTGTACGAGTACACCACAACTTGTGATCATCTAGGAGGAGTTTCCAGGAAAACAAACAGAGTGAGACTTTGTGTATTATAGTACAATGGTTGGCGTGTTAGAGTTGGGCATCGCAAACAACCCTTTGGCGGTCACCACAACTAGCACAAAAGCCCAGTGCGCTGGTCCTCCCTGCACCCACTTGACATGCTGACATCAGAATTAACTCTTGCCTCACAAATACACACAATCAGGGAGAAATATTATTAATCTTAGATAAAGAATCAAATAAATTAAAAGGAAAAACCTGCATGTGAAAATCAGTCAATGGGTCATAGCTACAACCAAAGAAAAGATGTCAGATTTAAGCAACAACAGAAAAGCACATTTGCCTTGAAATACAGTCTAACTGAGGGTCTGTTCTGTTAGATCATTTGCTAAAAGCACATTTATTGTCACACGGATGTGTGTAAATATAGGCTGAAGAATATCTTTGGTAATATGCATATGTAATAATATGTTAATGAGCCATGTGCCCAGCGTTGCTTATGCTGATGAGCCATATGGAGCTTTGCCTGGAAGCCTGGTGAGAGCTGTAATGTTTACAGATCTCTCAGGTAAAAAGTGAACAGGAAAAAAGATTATAACACTATTCTCTGTTACAGTGATGCTTAAAGGCTGGGTCATTCCTCAAAGAAACAGTGGAGATTAATGAAATCATGTTGATGAGCCTGAAAGCAAGTCAAAGAGGTTAAAGAGTCAAAAAGGATAAGCACAGATGTTATTCTCTGGTTTTCTAAGGCTTCATAGGATGAGACTGTTCATACACTTTCTTGAAATGCAACAAAACACCTCAATTAAAATTCCGTAAAGTTAAGGAAAAGAAGCTGTTTTTAATTTATTGCATTAAGTCTTTTTCTTTTTTCTCTATTAACTAGTATTAACTAGTGCAGCAGTCTCAAACTGCAGCTCCAGAGAGACATGCAGCTCCTTTTTCCATTTGTATAAATGTGCTGCCTATATAGTCCTTTTTATGCTTAAATAACCTGCATCATAGTTTACTTTGCTGAACCTTAGGATGGATATATACACATAAGCGGTCCATGGACGAACCTAATTGCATTTACCACCAACACTGCTGGCTTACTGGTACTACTTAATCTGCAGCTGGACTTTAGACAAAATAAAATTGAACCTGATCTTTTTTTTTTAATATCTTCAAAGCTATTAGGCTTTGGATGTTACAGCTATTCTCAAAGTAGGCTACTTTTAATTTAATCTGCACAGGAACACAGTGGCCTGCAAAGCTTCATAACTACTCTTTGCAAAGTACATACAAAAAGATATACTCTTCCTCTGCTTCACAAATGATCCTTTTTCTTTGTAATAAAAAACTGATTTAAAAAAGGAAACAATTTAAACAAACTTCATTCCAGAGTTTTGTAACAAAAACATGATATTGTAACAAAAATGCAACTGCAGCTCACTAAAAAGCCATTACTTGTGTTAAAGGATTAATTATTTACACCCTATTAGTAATGTTGACAGGCTAATTCATATTTAAAAGGCTGTGTTACCTTCATTGTAAGGCTCAAATATGTTTTGCAGCCCCACCACAAATTTTCAGATTAAAAATTGCTTGAAAATGTCTCTTTTGATAGTAAAGGATGCCAACTCTTCAATTACGGGATAGCATTTGGACCCAGAGCCCATACTAGGTAATATTAGCCACCCTGCATATGTTATTCCTAACTTTTTTGTTCATTTACAGGCTGTATGAAGTTGTTTGTCTAAATGCTTCATTAAGGTACTTGGATGTATTTATTTTATTTTTCAAATGAGTTTATATTAAGTTTTTATTAATTTACTCAACGAGAGGTGGTGTGTGTGCAGTGTCGTCATCCAACATGAAACAAACAATATTAGACAGAACATGTCAGCTCTAATGGTTGGTTTCAACCCAGAAGATGCAAAAGCATAACAGAAATAAACAATTTCCGCTTTCACATAAACTATTTCTTGAAAAACATTTTCTCTATAGAGCGATTCAGTCCTGTCAGAAGTCAACTCGCAATTTAGCCAACTGCTGTCCTTTCAGCACCTGTGGTACTAGGCTGCTGGTTCGGACAAACATAATGGGAGCTGAAGTCGGTTGACGAAATGGATACGTTGATCACACTGTGCTGCTGGTGTGAAATTCAGATAGCCCTTCTGCTCTTTTATAATAATCTTTCAAAATCGGCTAAAGCCAAAAGACTGGGACCACAGTGGTTCGCTCAAGGACACATCGACTAAGCAGATGCATGTGGCTGCAGGGGCTTAAGCCCAGGACTCCCAATCGCAAGCCAATTTCCCTAATCATTGCACCACCCCACTGCTCCTGATTTTGCCACCATGAGAATGTGTCATCAAAAATAATTACAAAACATTAAAGGCTAGAGCAACATGGAGAGAAAACACTGCAGGCAGCATCTTTCAGTGACGAGGATGACAAAGCCAATTTGGGAACCTTTTACCCAGTGGCACATACCTTCATCCCTCACCGACTGAAACAACTAACACATCGTGGTTGCATATGCTTAACTGGCTCTCCCGCGCTCCCACAAGTGAGACCAGAGCCTTGTTCGCTTTCCAAAACCCAGCAGCAACAAGCCAATCTGTTCTCAAACAGCTGGAGCTGCCCCCAAGAGTGAAAGAGGGAGAAAAAAGGGAGGGAAAGAGGGGGGGAGGGAGGTCTCGGAGAGAAAACAGGCAGAGAAAGTGTGAAAATGAGAAACAGAGCAAAAGACCGGGATGGGAGCATAGACACAGAGAGTATGAGAGTTCGCTGTCATAAATAATCAATGCTTAGTCAACACAGAAAACGAGAGCACGTGAAGGAGCCAGGGCTTCCTCCTATTCCCTAATCCAAAAAGGGAAAACTGCCAGCTCACATATGTCACGAGTAAACAGGGCTGAGCTAAGTTGAAGAGGATATATGGAGACAGACAAAATGATAATCGGAGGAAAAGCGACAGAGAGAAATTAAAGTGAGGGAAGAGACTGCAGAGAGTTTTTGCAGAGAGAATATGGAAAAGGTGAAAGTGAGAAAGAAAAAAGAAAGAAAGAAACACTTGGAAAGCAGGAAGCGGGCTGCAGGAAATTCCTTTGTCATCCTCCTGACCCTCTCTGCTTGTCAAAAAACTGGAATATGACAGTCCACGTCCTCTTTCTCTTCTCCCTCACTCCTTTTTCCTTTTCTCCGGCTGTGTCCGTGTGAGCGTGCTGTGCAGCGACGACTAGATTTCAAGTCATCTGCCATTTGTTAAGCACACTTGCTTCATGCTACAGACAACTATGTGACTCGGAAACGTGTTCATACCTCATGTCCTCAAGCAGGTCACATTCGGTCTGGTGTTTAAAGTGCAGTCTTGTCATCTGCTCTGTGTGAGTGTTTTTCAGCTCCTGTGTCACTTTGACCTGGATGAAACAAAAAGACATGTTATTAAATGTGTTATTTATTCATCCATCAGCTCCACAGGCATGTTATTGATCTCTATGAAGCCCAACTTTCAACAAATCATCAGTCCTCACATATCAATATATTAAAACAGTAACTACATATTAACCTAGATGTGATTTTGGCCAATGCAGAGGACATAAATGGCTGTCTTTTCCTGGTTGTAAAAGGGTTCAGTGAATGACGAAAGCTTCTACCTGGCTGTAAGTTATAAATGCACGTTAACAATAAATGATCCATATCAATCCATAATATTTCCATCTCATTGACCCTTCGTTAGATTAAATGCTGCATGAAATTGCCCAAAGTAACAGACTGAATACAGAAACATCTTTTAACATGAGCGCATTTCATTTTGTGTTTTTAGATAATCTCCTGATCTATTAAACTGTTTAAAGAAAGAAAGATTTGCTTTTGAAATTTGTGATTTTTTAACGTAACTTGTTTCAATCAAAAAACTAAGAATTGTTTGGACAACTGGACAAATATGCCCTTACCAGCCACTTCATTGGGCAAACCTGGTCAGTTGCTTGTTACTGCAAATATCTAGTCGATCACATCAGCAACTCAGTGCATTTAGACAAGCATACATGGTCAAGACGACCAGCTGAAGTTCAAACCAAGCAGCAGAATGGGGAATAAAGATCCTTTTGGTGCCGGACAGGTTAGTCTAAGTGTTTCAGAAACTGCTGACCTGCTGGGATTTTCCCAAACAACCCTCTCTATGGTTTACAGAGAACGGTCTGCCTTGTTGATGGCAGAGGTCAGAGGAGAATAACAAGACAGCTTCCAGCTGTAACTCAAATAACCACTCGTTAAAACCAAGGTCTGCAGAAGAGCATCTGTGAACAAGCAACAACCTTGACCACAGCAGGTGCCACTCCTGTCAGCTATGAACAGAAAACTGGGGATACATTTTGTGCAGGCTCACCAAAGTTCAACAACAGAAGGTTGGAAAAACTGTTCCTTCACAAACAACATGAAAGCATATATCCATCTTGCCTTGTATAAGGAGTTCAGGCTGGTGGTCTAATGGTGTGGAGGATATTTTCTTGGCACATTTTTGGCCCCTTAGTACAAAATGAGAATTGTTTAAAGAAGCACTGCAAACCTGAGTATTGTTGCTGACCAAGTCCATCCCTTTATGACCAGTGTACCAATCGTCTAACAGCTGTTTCAAGTAGGCTAACACACCATGTCACAAGCTCAAATCATCTCAATCTGCCTTCTTGAACATAACAATGAGTTCACTGTACTCAAATGCCGTCCATAGTCACCAGATTTCAATCCAATAGAGAACCTTTGGGATGTGGTGGATGCGCAGCTGACAACTTTGCAGCAACTGTGTGACACTGTCATGTCATGTGGACCAAAATCTCTGAGGAATGTTTCCAGCACCTTGTTGAATCTAAGCCATGAAGCCTTCATTAGCCAAAAATAAATATGAGTGACACTGATTTCAAAATGATGTATACTGAAAAGCACTATATTCTCTAGCTGCCCATCAACTGTCCTACTCTAAAGTAACCTGTAAGTAGCACATACATATACTGACCCATCAATGTAAAAGTCGGTGTCAGGGTTTTGTGAGACCTTCAGTGAGGCAGGTATGGGGATTTTTTGCAGTTAGAGGTGACTGAGAATACTCTTAACATCCCCCATAACGGCAGTGTTTAGTAAAGATGCTGTGTGCATCAAATTCAATTTAGTGGCCAGGCTCCTTCACACATCTTATGCTAAAAGAGACATGCACACAGACACACAGACACAAACACACACATCTCCTGCCAACAGAGTCGCTGTGAAGGTCATTGTGCATTGTCGGGTGAATTCCATCGGCTATTCACCAGAGTAACAGTGGGCAAATTCACGACTGTTCTAGACAAAACAATCAACAACATGCCACACACACTACACTGGCACACACACCAACACACAAACACAGCACAGCTCCTTTCTTTCATGTGCTGTGCCTTTGAAGATAAGGAGGGAGTGGTTCATTACAATCAGGGCAAAATTTCTTCACTTGATTTCACCTTCTATCACTCAGTGGCAACCCCAGAGGATGGCGAGAGGAGGGGAATGGTGACAGAGAGATAGAGAGATGGGGCGGGGGTTACAAAATGAAAAAGAAGATGTGAAATAAGGGCAAATGTGAAAATTATGAATAACAAAAATGGAAAGAGGAAGAGATATGGCGTAAACATCCCCGACTGTGAGATAACAATATCAAGAGGAGTTTAAATTGTTTGTCTTTTGGCTGCATCCCCCTCCACTACAACCATTAACCTTCTCGGTGGTCTTCCTATTTCCTTCTGCCTTAAAATAAGGCAGAAGATAAAAGGGGAGGGTTGTGTCAGGAAGGGCATCCGGCATAGGATCTCCGCCAAATCAAACATACCTTCAAGCACATGTGAGGATGTCAGATTCACCCCAGTAATGAAGCATGTATACCAATACACACATACTCCCTCCCTGTCTGATATGTATCCAGTCTAAAGATGCAAAGATGCTTTCACTAATTAAACTTAAGATTCAATGCCAACCGTTGATGCAGTTAATGTCAATTTAAAGAGTTCAAGTTCACCCCAAAATCAAGCATCTGCAAAACACTTGTGTAGCCTGAAATTTCACAGGCTCAGCTAAATTTGCCCAGTTCTAACCAATTCTTTAAATCCACAAAACAGAGACACTTCCTCAGCGTCCACACCCACTCTCGAACCTATGGATTTAAAGCTAGATAGGCAGACACTGCATTGCCTTTGTCAGGCCTCTTTAATTTAAGCCACATAAGGCGAATAAAAGAGAGCCGAAATGACTCCATGTTTGTTAGCAGATGTGCTGAGACACAGACAGAACACTTAAGGGGCTGTATGTGCCGCACTGGGAGAGAAATTATTAGCATCCAACAGTCTAGCAGAGATGCTGTGGGCTGAGTGCACACTGAGGGTAGCGGCGCTATTGCCAGTGGGTAACTCACGAGAACAGGAGGTTCAGGAAAGCAGTGTGTACAGCCTCAGTCAGGCGAAGACCTGCACAAGTGTGTGGTTTAAAGGCATGACATGGCATGTCCGAGGCCACAGTGTGTGTGTGTGTGTGTGTGTGTGTGTGTGTGTGTGTGTGTGTGTGTGTGTGTGTGTGTGTGTGTGTGTGTGTGTGTGTGTGTAAACGCAGAGTGTAAGTGGCACAGAGGGAATACGTGGTAATTAAGAGAAATCTGATGCGGAGCTTCACAGTGGGGAAATTGGCTCTTGTGCATCTATTTCAGGAGGACACACACACACAGACAGAAAGCAGTGGACCAGAAACTTCATCACACCCTCATGTGTATACACACATACACACTACACAGCACGCTTTAGGCGTCCTTTCTCAGCCCATACAGAATCAGTAAGTCAGCGTGGCTCTGGCTGCACGCCTTCCTCGGTATGCTCGACTTTTTGTCAGCTCTGCCTTCAGTGACCCCTGCACGGACTGATGAAGGTCTTTCTCTGAGACATCATCACAAAAGACGAAATCTTTTGTTGTGCTGTCTGGGGCAGGAGAGTGGAGTAGAGTGGAGTGGAGGGGGGGTTGCGGGTTGTTGTCATATTTCCACAGCGTCCACATTTTAACAAAAACAACCACCTCACTGGCCACAACGCTAAAAGCACTGCTCATATTTGAAGTTATTCCTATTCCTGCTGCACGTCTCTCCCCCTGAATCCCGTTTAGTCGTGCTTTGTGCCTCACGGTAGCCCACCTAGCGCTTTCTAGCTAACGTTATTTGACGTGTGAGGGTCACGCTGCTGCAGCGGCTGGACAGATGCACATTAATAACGTTCACAACTAACCCAGCTAGCCGTCCTTGCTAATGTTGGCTAGCGAGGGTCTTTCCGACCTCCCCTTTAATTTAGCCTTTATTTATTTATTTATTTTTTTGTATTTATTTATTTATTTTTACCGGAAGCTTTTTGTCGTGGCTGTTCAACCGTGAGCTTACAACACTGTTATCTGCCTGTCATTGTCTGCACAGCCCTACTAAAAACATAACGGACTCACCTTCCTCGGCGGCGGCTGCATGTTGAAGTATTGACATGAATGGTATTTCCCTTGTGAGATGTATTGTAATTCCGAGAGGATATCCAAATCAGTGTGTGGCACTAATATTTCTATGTTTTCCCCCCTCTTGCTTCCTGAAACAAACACCAACAAAAAGAAAGAAAAAAAGCCTTCCCTCCGAACCACAGGGAGGAAAGACGGGAGTTAAATTTGTACTCCGGCGGCCATGACTGATGATAAATGGCTAGTTTATATGCAGAGCAGAAACTGGAGCTACGAGGAGAGACCGGACACGCTTGTGTCGGCTGCTGCCGCTACGACAGGACTGGTGTGTTACTGTACTCTTGTGAGCAGGAGAGGGGGAGGCAAACAGGCGGAGAAGAAAAAGCAGAGGGAAGGGATGAGGAAGATATTAACGGGGAACCCCATCAGCAACTCAGCTCAAGGGCTCCACCGTGCGGGGAAGAGCAGGACAGCGCCCCGTGCCTCATTAATGAAAAACGGCCATCAGGACGGGAAGAGATAATCTTTTTGTTTGCTCGTTCTCGCCCTGTGCTGGCGGTAAAATATAAGTAAAGTTGTCTTAAAGCATATAAGTCGGACAAAAAGATTTTTAAATGTTTTATTTATTTATTCATTGTTTTTTTTTACAGCCGCTCCAGCTTGCTTATGGGGGAAGCGCAGGAGGCAGAGTCCCGCAGACCTGCATAGCAACAAGAAACCGCATTCAATCAATGGTGGAGTAGGAATAAAAACGGGATATTGTTTCAAATAAATAAATAGACAAATTACATATACAAGTTATTTAAAACGTTTTTGCATATGACCTATTATTTCTTGGCTAGGGAGTCCTAAAAAGCGTCTAATCCACACGATTACTCACTATTATTATGTAGATTATGGCGCACGTCAAAAAATCTATAGAAAATCAGGGGGCAGACAGAGTAAAATAGGGTCACTGGGTTCATTGCTCCTGGGGAACGGTGATAAAAGTCTTGTCAAGGGTTGGCATCAGCTGCAGCTGGTATCACAGCACCCGCAAGTATGAATGCATGCATGCAGCCCGTAGCCTATGCTTTTATTAGGCGTCATTGCTCGTGGTTAAAAATCGGCCAAATGCAGGAATCTGCTGCATTTCTGGGTCTTCCGTTATAACACAGTTTATATCTCGGGTCATGGACCGCTTTTCATACAAAACAAGACGTCATTTTAAGATAGTGGGGAACTGGGATGGACATTTTTTTTACACAATTAATCAATTAATTCAGAAAATAATTTGAAGATTTAATAAAAAAAAATCATAAACTTTAGCTTTATATGAAGAACCATTGTTCTTCTGGGATCAGGTTGTAAACGGTTGTAAGTACTTGGACACACATTTGAATCACTTCTTCCAGCCAGCTGTGTTAGCTTTATTTTTCAGGGTGGCCTCTGCAACATGAGACTAGAAATCACCCAAAAATCTTCACCATGAAGCAATTACTGCATGTCACTCTGCTCACACCCCTGTCAAACTGTGTAGTTGTCCAGCTTTTGGGAAAGTAAGTAAGCTTTACCATAAAAAAAAAGATACAGTGATTAATGGAATAAATAGGTATAACTAAATAAAAGCAAGTCTACGCAGGTCGGTCTTATGCTTCCTTTTTAATGCCATCAACAGTGTCCACAGATCTTAGTCCACTGGAAGCCAGTTCCACAACTTGGGAGCCACAACTTTAAAGCAAAGTCTCCTTTTGTACTTTTGTACCTAGACCTACTGTAGATACCACCAACAACCACTAATCAGCTGACCTCAGAGACCCAGTAGTCATGTATAGATGTATTAATTCACCAGGAAGCATATAGCCAAGGATCACAGAAATCTTAAATTGAACCTTAAAGTTTATGTGGAACAAGTCTAAATGGGATAAAATCAGCGTCACATGTGGGCTTTTATAGGACCTGGTGAGAAGCTTTGTATTCTGGACCTGCTGGAAGCAACACAGAGATGATTTACTCAGGCGAATGAATAATGAATAATGGGTGATCGAGGACGCGATGACACAAAAGCGTGTATACCGTAGTCATTTCCATTTCACACTGAGACACGGTATATTTTTAAAGAGCAATGTTCTGCAGATGATAAAAAAAACAAGTTTTAACAAGACATGCTCATCAAAACTGAACCCTCCTCTAAAAGGAACACCAGGATCTCTCATGATTGTTGGGTTTTTTTTCTCTGTATCTATGAAGCGCCTTGAGGCGACTTATGTTGTGATTTGGCGCTATATAAATAAAATTGAATTGAATTGAATTGAATTGAAGATTAATAGAGTTAATGTTGTTAGGGGCACACATAAGAGTGTCAGGGTTTTTTGTGTGTGTGACAACTGATTGTTCTGAAGAACAGATGGTTTTATTTGTTTACATTCTGGGGTTTGAATGGCATGTATGAGATGTCTTCAAAGTTATTGAGGATGTGTGCAATAGAATAAAATATAAAGGTGTTACCCAAGCTTTAGGTAACACCGCGAGATAAGGCGGCAGAAGATACCGCCTTATCTCAGAAGATACCCAGATCAACCATGTCAGAGGCAGCAGACAGACCTATCAGAACTTCACCTCCATCTCCATGTTTTAAAATATAATTTGAAACTCTACAAACAGCTGTTTCAGTAGAGTGAATCAAACTGAATTTATCCAAATTGTTTTTCAGCAGTTGACTACCTTCAGCAGTCCTAGAAGTGTAGTGCTAAAAGGCCTTTTTGAAGGGCCAGCATTGGGCTTTTGAAAATAAGGGTGGATAACAGCCTGTTTAAATTGTGAAGGGGACACAGCCAGAGGTTAAAGAGTTGTTAACTATCCCGAGAACAACACAGCCCAGAGGTGTAAATGACCTGTTTGAACAGCTTCACCATGTGAGGTTGGTAAAATGTCAAGTGGGCAAGAAGAGGGTTTGCTGACGAGATCATATCAAAGACATCGGCCCAAAGGACGGGTCATATTTGCTCTGATATGATGGATCTTATTAACCAAGAAAGAAGGAAAGTTTTCACACTCTTCAAGCAGGAGAAACAGGATAAATGGCGTCTCTGAACTTTTGGGTTCCCTTTGCTGTTATGAATTAAGCTTGAGTGAAGCGCGAGAACATCCCGCTGGCTTGGAAGACAGAGGAAAAGACAAACTAGCTCAGAGGAAGTGAGCGTTTTACTTCTTGCCTCCTACGTGTTATGTTCAAGGTTAAGGTACAGGTAATCATTCATTTACAAAGTTTCTGGAGCAGGTGAGACATTAAGCACACTTCCTCACCTATCACACTCGTATATTTCAACACACTCTCACACACATTCGCACACTCGGAGGAATCGCATTCATGTTCACACCTAACTTTTTAACAGTGGAACAGAGGAAAATGGCTGCCACCCACTTATGAATCGTAATTTTTGCGTTAGGATCCTGCAAGGATTGTTTTCATCTGTGATTTATTTTATAATTTGGCTTCTGCACATACATTCCTTTGGCCTTACCGAGGTAAGAGATTGTTATGTGTCTGTGCCCATAAAACAAGAAAACAAGAAATCGGTGTGTTAACAGGGGAATTTTATTCTACTGAGTGGCTCCCACTGGTGTTTAAGTGTGCATACAGTGTGCTGGCCCCCCTGTGGTGTACCGCCTAAATCTTAAACTAAAGTTAAGATTAGAACAAAGCTCAGCAGCGTGCATTTCATCACAGCCCACAGCCCTTGTTGTTAATGCAAAATCCAAAAAATCGTTAGTTTCACAGGTTAACAACCATTATTGTGGCGTGTGAGAGAAATACGTTTTATGCCCTTTGCTACATGATCATTATTAGTTAATTGTTACATATTTATAATAATTAATTCAGGAAAATGACAAAGGAAGACATTGTGCCACTTCTAGTGGGCACTTTTGTTTGCACACTGGCAGCTTCATTGAAAATGATTGAAGAAATATAGGCATACACACCTTTTTTAATAGCATGGCCCAACTAACTGAAGCAGCTCTGTATATTTGATTTGGCAGATTTTCACACCAGATAAATGTCCTGACACAACCCTGAAAGGGATTTTTGTGTCCTCCTGGTACTGAGACAGTGATCGTTCACTTGTTAGGCAAATGTGTAAACCCAGACACTATGGAGCCACTAACAAGTAGCCTAACCAAAACTTCAGAAAACAATAGCACGGGAAAGAAAAAAGCAATAATTTCAAGTGAATAACTTCAACTACACGTCAGATCAACGTAACCCAGAACTATTGTACTCAGCCTCAGTATGGCCAACTTCCCATGTGCATTTCTGGCTACTTTTCCTCCACAGTTTTTGAATTTACCAGTAAAAGAATAACAGTCACATTATCAAGGACCCACAATTATCATCAAACTCATAGAGGGTGATTGCTGATACTATCAAAACTGACCCGAGGGAATTTTCAAATAAGTTCAAATGATTTGTTTCTATTGGCTGGAACTCCATATAAAACACTGGGGCATGACTAAAAGGTACTTAACACGTAGTGGACCAGCACAAGCACGTACGCCAGCAACAATGTCTGTCATTTAAGTAGGTTATGTTGTGGTCTCTGCAAAGATTCCACACAGGAGTCTAAATCAGGCCTTAGGTGTGAGGGCAAATCTGATTGAGGCTTGTGCCACCTCATACCCTCCCTCTGGACACACCTCTGATGTCTTCTCCTAAGGAATTTGGGGGGTGGGGTGGGGGTGGCATGTTAAGCAAAATGCCCATTTAGTTGTTGGTGAACTAAATACTTTTACTAGTGCAGCTTATATCTATAAATAAAGATGATTATTATTATTACTGTTGTCATCAGTTTACAGGCTTACATTTTTACAAATTTCTTACTCTAATAATAAAAGATGATTTAAGGCCTTTTTTCATGCTAAAAAAAATCTGTCTTCTTATTTTAATAATACTAAGAGTAATTCAAATATATATCTTTCTAGGTTTACCAAAGTGAGAAACATAAATATTTAACCAGTTCGAGGTGTCTGTTGGTTTTACTGAATATATGTAACATATTAGCCTCAGGCCCCAGATGCTTGCTCACTGTGGACACGCCGCAACTCGTCAAACAGTCATACGTCTTCACAACTTTTTCACTGCCTCCAGTCTCCCAGGAACACATTCAACCACAAACAACAATGTGAGGATACTTTGGACAGGATAGTCAGGATAATAGCACCCATACAGTGTGAGTTACTTCATAAGCTATATGTTTTTTAGGGTTTGGGGTTTGTTTGGGGGGGGGATATTTGTGAACGGCTGTTTTACCAGAAAATAGCAGAAAGGAATTTATTGCCGAAGAGGTAAGTTCTTCTCAACTTGGTATGGCATGCACAAAAACTTAGGAACTACAAATATGGACGCTCGGGTCTGTTATCGATTAAATGTAACACAGGGCTGTTTAGAAGAGTAAAGGAGAGAAGAACGAAAGGTTCAGAGAGAGC